TTTTCTGAAACTTGTCATCGGGTCATTCACTGGGCTGGTTTTCCAGCGAAAAATCCAGAAACATCCAGGGCTTTTCACCCCAAAAAACACGTGATTCCCTTGGCCTCCTGGATCGTGGCTTCTGCGCCCTTCACGGCTTCCGTGGCTTTACCAATGCACTGTTCCATATATGCCTGGCACGGGAGGCAGATCAGGGCAGTTCACCATAAATGGGGGTTAACCAGGGGTTAACCATGAAAAGATAGGGACTAAACCATCAAAATCCATCAAACATGGTGACTTAAACGATCAGGAATTGAGACATAACAATCATGTTTTTGATTATTTGACCCTGACAAATGTTCATTTGACCAACAGAAAGATCTGATGTAAGTATTGAACCTAACATCGTGATTCTCCAGCAAAAATAGAGATTCAAGCAGCAAACATGGAGATATCACTGGCAAATGGAGGGATTTGAGCAAAGAAAAAATGGGAGTCACCCCACAAATGATAGGGCGTGCAATACGGCATCAGCAATAATTGGTATCGTAGCAAACAAAAGGTGAATTGGTCATGTTTTGGCCAGAAACCCATGTTTTTTTTAGATCAAACCGTTTGCCACTTCATGGAGGTTTCACAAAAAAAAAGTAAGTATGGTACCCGCAAATCATCCATCTTAGTAGCATGTTCCGTTATAAACCATCCATCTATTGGGGTACCTCCATTTTAGGAAACCCCTCATATGGCTGCATGTAACCCCAAGAAATGGCCAGCCCACAAGCTGAAAAATGGCAGCTTTCTTCCAGCGGCACCTGGGCCTTCGCTTCTTCCAGTTGTTTCACCTCCGTTTGGTGTTCTTCAAGGGCTGCATCCTGCACGATCTGATCGTTGAGCCACTAAGATGCTCGTCATTGGGATCTACCAACCAATGATTTTGATATACCAACCAATGGATAGTGCTACCAACCAATGAATCTATTTAGAGATATTTAGAGTCTGAGCTTAGAGTCGTAAACCCGTGGCTTTTTCAAAAATCATGATGAACCACCGGAAAAAAATCCAGCAAAAATACCCCGAGCCCGGAAGTCGAGTTTCCGGCGTGCTTCGACTTTGACCATGGATATCTTGAAACATGGGCAACCAATCCGACCGATTCTGATCATCGGATATAATCGGTATGATAGTCTGCCATACTGGATCTTTTCTGTGCTGCTTGTATCAGTGTATATCCCATATGTTCAACAGAGGTTGCAGTCTGTCAAATGCTTTGCTGTACCAAATTCCGAGTGTGAAAATAGGCTACGATCATAATTGTCCCCTTTAAAATCGCGGCAACTTGGGTTATCCCCCACATTTGTGGCACACCTGCCATACTTCATTGAATATTGCTGAAATCTGTTGAACTATCTATATCTTTGATAAAATCAAAAAAAAACAAATCAGGTTGGGTACATCACATCCCTCTTCATCCGGACGACTCGGCCTTGGCCGCGGTCAATCGACTCTGCAACTCGTCCAAGTTGGATTTCTCCTGGGGGGGTCCAACAAGTCACCCCCAAAAAGGAAGGGGCCCCAGTTCGTTAGCTAAGTTGGTCAACTATAATAACAATGGTGTATGATACTTATAACTTTATAATTTATAACTTATATTTGGGATGGGGTTATAAACCATCTAGTAATTAGAGGTCCCCTTCCTGCAGTTCATCCATTTTAATAGGGTTTTCCATTATAAAACATCCATTTTGGGGATCCCTCATTTATGGAAACCCCATATGGAATTAGTGAATTTGTATCAATTGGTCCAATTTGTATCAATGAGTTCTTCACCAAGTAGCATCCCATATATGTAACAATGGTGCATAAAGACTACTAGAAATTGTATCAATTGAGTACTAATGGCCACTAAGTATTAGTCATCAATTAATGGATATCAAATGATATTAATGGAACATGATAATCAACCTGCTTGTTAAGCATGAAATGTAATTCTAACACATTTACCGTGGACCTTCTGTGGATGAACGTCCAGTTACCCACCCTACGAAACCAGCCGGAAACGTACCAGTTTTGTGGTGGCTGCGGTGCGCTGTCCTAACACGTTGCTATAGAAAATGGCCTATTTAGTTCGATGATGCTTTACCTATCAATAATGGTGACGTTCCCAGTTAACAATGTGAAATTGACCAGAGGCTCCTGTTTCATCTTCTTGGACGCCTCCAACCTGGAAACTGGTGAAGTTGAGAAATGGAAGGGCTGTTGAAAAAGCATATGGGGATTTCCTAAAATGGGTGGTTTTAATACTAAAAGTAAAACGGTGTAGTTTCAGATGATTTGGGGGTACTTCCATGTGACGAAACCTCCATGTTATTAAATGTATTGGGGAAGTAATTGGCCTTTGTCCCCAACGAAAAAGACCATCTTACAGAGGAACATGATTGGACCGCAAAATATGTGAGGACGCATGATACCATGTTTAGGGAGTGAGCATCCATAACAACCAACTGTTTGAACACCAAGGCGGAAAGGTGTGGAGATCCACAGATCTACCTCTCCATTCAAATCCCTTTATTTTTGGATATTTGGGGGGGTAAATCCATCTACCCGAAACCAATACATTCCACCAGGGTTTCTTTGGGGTGTTTAGTTTTTAGGGGAAACAAATTATTGGATGCCTGCATTTGCTTACAGTTTCCCAAATCAATCTCAACCCGGCATTAGCACACCCCTAGTTTCTCAATTACGGGATTCCCAAATTACTGATAAATGACCATTAAACTGCTTAAACCCCAATCACAAACCACGGGCTTGACAATAGGTAGCAACCATCTTGGATCATGAAGTTTGGCTACCTGCATTTACACTTCATTACCCCCAAATTCTCCTAACTTACCTAGTAAATAACAACATAGCCCCTGCATGAACTCTCCGTGTTTGGGGGGGTTAGAAGATTCAATTCTACCAAAAATGGGCTATGGGCTACAAAAAAATGTTCAGGGTACCAGGTTCGTCTGAAAATAGGGCTACCCTATCGACTGGCTGATCATCACCCCTCAAAAATTGGGTCCAAGATTATCTTATTTAATTGGTTTATGATCTATGATCACCCATTGAAAATGGGTTTATCTGGATACCATTGTGAAACTGGTTGATCATCATTTTCCCATATTTTTCCCAAAATCAAATGGCAGCAACTTGGAGGTATCCCCCATTCTAACTGGGGCGCAAGGTGTTCCGCGCAGGAAGCAGTTTGGAGGTCGCTGCCACGTTGGCCACCTGGGACTGGCCGACTGGCACCAAGTTGGGCTATGACCATTGAATTAATCTATGGAATCATAGTCCATTTCAATATGGGGGCAAAAACCGGTGTAGCCCATTTTCCAGAGAAAGGCTACAAGTTGATTTACCCTCTGGTTCTTTTGACACTTCGATCTTGAAAACCGCCAATTCTTACTGGAAACTCATCTTCCAAGCCCCAAGACATGGCAGGGTCTGTGGTCCAATGGGTCTTAAATTTTGACGCATACCCAGTTGAACTTCATTGGAAGGTATCTGATTTCTAATGCACTTATCACAAGGTTTATGATACTTATCATAGCTATACCTTTTGAACATGTTGAAGATAGGCGTGAAAATTATTTGGGTTTACCATCTTACCAGGAGCTATAAACCAAGAGATATCGGAAAGTTCACCTCGTTTTGTTTTGGGGTACCACCTTGGAGGTACTGCTGACAGTGAGCTATCCATCGAATCTACAAAGGATGGCCCAAGGTGAACAACTCCCATCATGACTGGTTGGTGGTGCAATAACCGTCTTGAAAAATATGAAAGTCAATGGGAAGGATTATTCCAGATGACGTCATCGCTAGGTCTCCATGGTATTCCCCCGACGGCCTTAGCAGCTTTCTGCTCGCACTCTGTGGCGGCTTTGCCACACTCGGCCGCCAGAGCCTACGTTAAATGGTCAGGGGCCCCATAGCCCCATATTTAACCAAGTTAGTTTATAGCTATAAGAACAATGGTGTATGGTACTTATATATAACTTCTTAGAGCTATATTTAGATGGGATTATAAACCAACTTATAACATCTTATAACTAGGGGGGCCCTTCATGTATAGGATGCGCTAAAATTGAACCTTGAATGATGGGGGATACGTCTGGATAATTGACAGCCTTTCATACCCGAAATGACCCCAAAAATGACCCCAGCCTTGATGAATGTCTGTAGACTCCTCAGCCGGTGGCTGGGAAATCCACTGATTGTCCTCTGTAAACATAGAGGTCTTAATGGGACAATCATTATAAAATCATCTGTAAATGGAGAATTGTCGCCATGTTTGGTTACCAGAGGGTAACCATAGAATTTTAGGGCACCCATACCCCAATAGCTGTGAAACATATTGACTCAAGTTCACCAAGAATTGTGTGGCTTTTTGAAAATCGACGCCCCTTCCGGACCTACAGTCAAGAAAAGCAGCTGCTCGGAAAACAAGACATATCTGGGCATAGCGGAATGTTCTCTTTTTGCCCATGCGATTTTTTTGGAAGCAAAGTTCAAGACTGGGGTGTGTTTCAAAATCAAACCAGTATTTCAGATATTTGAATTGTGCGCAACTTTGGGCTCAAACGCAGCATGTCTATGCAGTTGACCATGATCATTTTTAGGTGGATTTGAAGATATCTGAAGTTCAACTTCAGGATCTTGTGGAATTGTCCAAGAATTATCTTCCCCATCAAACTTGCCAAAAAAATAGCAGGTGATTCCCCCATGCTCGGTTGGTCAAATCCCGATGTCTCTCCATGATGGTTAAATCCACAGCAATTGTCAGGTCAAATCCCTATTGAAGTATAGCATCCATTGAAAAACTATAGTAACTATATCTTCTTCCAATCATGTTTTCACCATCAAAAAATCTGGATTTCTTACCCCAAAAAGTTCCATGGCTTTTCTCAGCAAATCCATCCCTTCAAGGCCCCCCGACTCCAACTGCGATGCCACTGCCACTGAGCAAAGCGCATCGCGTCCTTCGCCATCGTTTCCACCGTCCACCTGGGGGGGAACCAACCACAACTGGGAGGTATTTCTTTCGGCTGTTTCAAGTTACCAGTTGAGTTATTTGGGCTCTGGATTTACGGGGAAAATTAGCCTCTGGTTATGACTAACATAGCCATGGAAAATGGTTGATGTTCCCATTAAAACCTCCATTTATAAGGCATTTTCCATGGCTAATGTTGAATAACCAGATGGTACCAAAAACAAGCCAACTAACAGTTGAACCATTGATCCGAATGAACCACAAAATACTGAATATACAGTGCAGGACGCAGCTTTGACAGACAAGAATGTTTTTCGGGCTCTATGCTTCTCTGCTTCTCCAAAAATGGTGGCCCTACAATGGCCAAAATCGGGAACATGATGAACAAATCCCATGATAATCCCATGATAATCCATGGTAATCCCATGATAATCCATGGTAATCCCATGATAATCCCATGATAATCCCATGGTAATCCATGGTAATCCATAAGGTTTTACGAAAAAACCTATGAACCCCCGCATTTCGCTTAAATCCAACGGATCACCCCTTGGGGATTTTCTTGGATCCCCTGGCCCAAAAGGAGCGACCATCACGTAGCACACGGCAATGGAGGCGCTCACCTGGACCACTTGGGGCTGGCTGGAAACCACCAGCCCATGGGGATCCATGGGCTGTGTTGAATCGAGAAAAACCTGTGATTTTGCCGTCCAAAAACATGATCATTCATGATAATGAAAAACCCATGAAAGGGGGTATATTTGTTATGCTTGCATTGCGTTTGGAGAGGCTGGCTGGGGAATGCCATTTTTTGAAGATATAGAGAACTCATCTAAGAGTAGGATCGGAATTGGCAGGTATAATACCCCAGTTTATGGCAATGTTAAATGAAGATAATGATGAACAACCATTAGAAACTACAGGATATCAAACGTTTAAAGACAACTCATGGCCGCCTCCAATCTTAGATACATGGCACAAAATAGATCTGTCGTTAGCTGCTTAGTAAGTCTTAGTATCCCAATTTCTAGCAATGGTCCGTTGGTCCTGTTAAACATCAACGATCCAATTCACTTTGGAAACACCGGTGACGACCGTTGGTGACCCGTTGGTGACCGTTGGTGACCGCCTGGGTGGTCTTCTACCACTTGAACATGTTCTCCCTGATAGAGCTTCGACACGTGTTCTCCCCCTGGAGGGATGGCAATGGATGGCAGATGGGGATGGAAACACAGTGCAAAACCACTGAGATATAAATCATATCATATCCAATAATGGACAAATATGGACAAATAACCTATATGCATATAAATATGTATGTATGCACATATATATATATATATATTATGTGTATATTATGTGTATTTATATTATATATATATACATGTGGAATCATATTTATGTTTTGTTGTTCAGATGGCAAAGAACAAATGATAAAACGATAAGCAGAATGGCTGTGTCGCAAACTTGGAAGCATCGATATCTACCAGATGTTGCTACAGTCTGTTCTAGTTGGGCATAGGTCAACCAGCTGCTGGGTTGTATCCCAGTTTCTGGAGTTTGTTTTGACGGAAAAAACAACTTTTCTTACAGCACTTTTGCTGAAAAAAAAGAACATAGTATGTTATCCTTCCATGGAAAGTAATGGAAGATATTGCTAATTAAATTGCTACTGATTTGGTGTTGAACAGGTCAATACGAACAATATGGTCAATCTCAAAAAGGATCAATATCAACATCGCTATGTATTAATTATATACATTCAAATATTATATCAATTATCAATAAGATGTCATTTTTCTGGGGGTTTCCCAAAATAGGGCTACCCCTAAATCATCCATTTCTAGATGGATTTTCCATCATAAACCAGCTATGGGGGTACCCATAGAATGGCTAGGAAACCTCCGGCACCGCCTTCGGGCGCGTCCCACAGCGTGGCGGGCTGTAGCACCAGACGGCGATCTCGGAGGAGGGCCTGGAAAAGGACTTGAAGACTTGACATGATTACCTAATTGGTAAAGGAATTGGATGGAATTGGTATGTCTATTGGTCAAAACCCTGGCACCTAGTGAACCCCAAAATAGCTGGTAAATGGATGTTCATCCCATTAGAATTGATAATAATAGGTTTTGACCCACCCCCGTATATTATACATTAAAGTGTATTGGTATACCTACAACTCCTGATTCCGAACTATACTAAGTTACTGACTTAGGTATAAATGTGGAAAAATGTCATAAAATGTCCAGTCAGTAGCCATTGGTCAGAATGATCCATAGAAAAATATATTTAAAAAATGATGTTACTGGAAAAAACATTTTTAAAAAAATGGATCCCAGCAGCACTGTGGGAGCACAGAGACGATCGTTTTTGACTGTTGCAGATCTGCGAAAGAAATCCGTGAAACTCAAGTCTCTCAAGAACCAATTTTCAAATGGTGTATTGCACCACATAGCAGGGATAAGCCTGTTCCCGATCAAAGATCACATACTCTTGATGGAGTTGGGACTGATTGTGATGTCCTTGTACCCAGCCAGGCTTCACAACAATAGAATCGTACGTGCCAGATGAATCACGTCTGACAGGCGGCCTTCTTTCGTATTTTCGGGTTTGAGTTGCTGTGTAAGCATCACCCAAGGCCACACGGGCGATGATCAACGTTCTCTCACTCCGGCATCCGCAGCACCACTTGTGCTGTTCGCAGGTATACTGATGGCTTTTGCAAGCCGCACACGCGAAATAAACTCCGGCACCATACAGGGCATGTTGGCAGGTTCTGTGGTCAAACCCTTCGCGGACGATGGAGTTTGCATTGTCCCAAGAGGTTCCGTGAAGCAGAATCTTCTCATCGACATCCATCGCAAGTGGCTCGCCACAGTCAAAGGTCTGTTGGGACCCCGCCATGATATTGTCATAGCCTTGGAGCTGCTCAAGGCGAAATGAGAACTAGAAATCGTATATATATCATTATAATTATATATATATATATCAATAATAATTATTCTATATAAAATAATGTTCCATTTTTATCCATCTATTTCCTGACTGCGAAGTATCCGCCGACCCCGGCGACGCAAGGGGGAGCACGTAAGGGAAGAAGAGTTAACACAACAACAACAACAACAACAACAACAACAACAACAACAACAACAACAACAACAACAACAACAACCCAAGCTGACGCAAGGGGGAACGCGTAAGGGAAGAAAAGCTACCGCACTGCTACTAAGATAGTGACGTGAACAAAACCCTGTAAATAACAATGTTTTATCATATCCACTTTCGGGGACTAAAACTGTGGTATTTACGCGGGTTCTTGCCATCATGCTGTAAATTACAGCACTTTGTGCGCTGTTTATGTTGAATTTTTAAACGAGCGATGCTTTCACATGTTCTTTGCGTTCTTCAACAAGAAACGACGTTACAGATTGAAACTAGACGACAGTGTGGTCCAAAAGAAAACTGGAGGGAGGAGACGAGAAGATAGCACACAAGAAAATATGATGATGAATGCTGCTCTTGAGTAGCTTCTACGCAGACGCGTTTACACACAGAAGCTTTTACGCACAGAAGCTTTTACACACACAGGGTCTTTTACACAGAGCCGTCTTTACACAGAGCGGCTCTTAGACACAGAAGATTTACACACAGAGGCTTTTACACAGAGAAGTCTTTACACTAAAGATATTTTGCACACAAACGCGTTTACACAGAGGAGCTTTTACACACAGAAGTTTTAACACAGAGAAGTGATTACACAAAGAGCTTTTACACACAGACGCGTTTGCACACAGAAGCGTTTACACAGAGAAGCTTTTACACAGAGGAGCTTTTACACACAAGGGCGTTTACACACAGAAGCTGTTGCACACAGACGCTGTTACACAAAGAAGTCTGTACACAGAGAGCTTTAACACACAGGCGCGTTTACACACAGAAACTTTTACACAAAGAAGTCTTTACAGAGAGAGTTTTTTTGCACACGGAAGCTTTCAGACACAGAAGTTTTTACGCAGCGAAGCCTTTACACACAGGCGCGTTTACACACAGGCGCGTTTACACACAGAAGTTTTTACACAGAGACATCCCTACACAGAAGTTTTCACATGCAGAAGCTTTTACACACAAAAGCTTTCACACAGAGAAGTTTTTACACAGAGAAGCCTTTACACAGAGAAGCTTTTACACACAGGCGCGTTTACACGCAGAAGTTTTTACACAGAGAAATCTCTACACAGAGAAGTTTTCACATGCAGAAGCTTTTACACACAAAAGCTTTCACACAGAGAAGTCTTTACACAGAGAAACTTTTACACACAGAAGCTTTTACACACAGAAGCTTCTACACAGAGAAGTCTTTACACAGAGGCGCTTTTATACGAAGTGGAAAGTTGAAATTGGCAGCAATTCTTGAGGAAAAACCCTTCGCAGGAGCTTTCGGGAACAAGCCTTCCCCACTTGCTCCAAGAAAAAAACCGCAGTTCCATGATTCCATGAATATGTTCAATAAAGCATAAGGAATATAGTTCTGAAGCAGCAGGTCCTCATTCAATAGCTTTCAAGCCCACCCTGCGATGACATCGAGGTCAAGTAATCCGGCGGAGCCGACGATGAGCGTCAGCTCACAAAAAAAAAAATGTTGCTGTACATCAACTCATGTGTGGTCAATTTCCGACAAAGAAACCAACAACTCAACAAACGTTAAGGGGGTTCCCCCAAGGAACCATCCAGATCAAGCTCCGCAGAGGTCACCGAAATGCCGTAGGAGGCATGGTCCTGACGCATCTGCCCCAGCCTCGCCTTGTAACGATGCCAGAGACGGTTGTTCTCAATGCGATGCACAGAGTGGATGACTGCCCTGGGGGTGTCACTGTTGGGCCGGCCCAACAGGTGTCTTAAACAAAGCTACAAAGTCAGCAAGCTGATCAAAATGATATAAAATGCTAATATGATCTAATATGTAATTCAACTGATTTTACTGTTTGGCTCATGATTGGAACCACAGTTTGCAACCATGCCTTCTCAGACGGGAGCACTGATTCGAGGCATCCCATGTATGACCAGTTTCTGTCAGGATCTTGTAAACAGAATCCCAAATTTCTTTGTCCGTCACCTCCTGGTAGAAGGATTCCAACTCATTGCCTTGTTGCAGTAAGTCCGCTGCGGGGGTAACCCATTGAGGGGGCGCGCCAGTCAAGAGACGAATGCGGCGCACTTTTTGTGTCGTCAGATGTTCTTGCTGCATCAACTGAAAGTCCACCATGCGGGCAACCCCTCCGGAATTGATGGCGGCATGTCGGCTGTCAGGAATGCCCTTGAGGTACTCCAAATACGCCTGGTGCATCTTTTCATTGCCCTCCGGTGTAAATGCCTCCCATGAACCTTCCATTTCGAATTGCCAACTAGCACCGGAGCTGAGACTGGAGAGACTCTTCTGCACCTGCAACTGTGCTCTCAACCGGCCATTTTCCTTCGACATCGCATCCAGGCGTTCCTGCAGAAGCTTGCGATCTCTGTCAGCCGCCTGACGCCTCTCTCGTTCGCTGGCCAACATCTTCTGCAGCTCTAAATATCTTTGCGCAATTGGCCGTGGCTGCGCAGCAACTTTAGCTGCACGTCCTGGGCCCCCCTTTCCCTTGATACCAGCAGATTCTGTTTCCTGGGCCCTTTCAGAGGAAGTGCTACTCGAAGCATTGCCAGCATCGGGGGTCGGTTCATTGCGCTTGCCCCAGGAATCCATCGAGAGTGGTGGCATGTCGGGCAGCAGTGGGTTGGGCCCGTCTCCCAAGAGGTATTTCATCATGGGCGTCTCCCAGGGCAACTGAAGGTTGAAAGCTGAGGCTACTCCAGGAACGCCTTTCGAATTTGTAGAGTCATCCAACTCCACTTTGACCGCTTTGACTTCATGTCCCGTGCGTCTCCGTTTGTTTGCTTCCGTGTTTGGCACAGGCACTCTCTTCCATCCCACACTGTTCCTAGTGAATTCCCCAGAATCATTCTCTTCAAGCCCTGTGGCAGACTCATTGACCACCTGCTTTACCTCTCCCCGGCTCCTTCTCCGCATGTCTCTGACGTCTCTCCACAACTTCTCCATTATTTTTTGTTTGGTCGTCATAAATCTCACGGCTTCAGCGGTTCCATGCCCTGTGGCCCCAGTGTCATCGACTTCTTGCACCTCTCGCTTCACCTCTAACCACTTTCGAGCTGATGGTGCCGGCCCAGAGCTTGAGGCCACTGAAGGCCGTACGAGCGGCACGAGAACCATGCGATTGCCACTGCCGCTGGGCTGGGGACTACACGTCCAGACAAGTGGATGGTTGCTATGCCAAGAATCTGAAGTGGATGGCTGATTGGTTTCCATACACTTTCATTGCTATGTTTGCATCTGACAAATCATCAAAAATTAAACTGAAGGTTGAATAATCATTGCTCATACAGATTTCAAGAGAAACTCTCTTATAACATACACAACTTGGTTGGATATTGTCTGGTCAAACCAAAAACATCTGTCCATATTTTCCCAGCCAAGGTCGACCAGAAATGACATGGTCCAGCTGCTATTTGAACCTGAGCGCCAGCGCGAAAGTCGACATCGTGACTGGTCGGATGATTGGTATCCTGTGGGGCAAATCCGCAAGCTGAGATTGTTTCTGTGACATCCCTATAATAATATCCTATAATGGTTTAAGCTCGAAGGTTGATGTGTAAAATCCCCATCATTTTTTGCTTTGTCTGAACCTAGTGATAGATGGCCGTAAAGGGATTGGGTTGGATCTCCCTATGTCCATGAATTATGTGGTAGTATAAATCATGTTGAATCCATTTGAATCCCTATCTTCTTGATGGATTGAATCTCAATCTGGCTGACTAAATCCATGACCTATTGGTGAAACAGTTGTGAAACAGTTCCACGTCTGAAAAAAATCATATAAATTCTATGTGACTTTCCATCCCAGGATCTCTCATACACCAGGGCCAACCCTTCCCCCAACGCGCTGCCTTGAAGGCCGCCTCCGTCAGACCGCCATCGGAGAGCCCCAGCAGCGGCCAAACTGATGCCAAATGGTCCTGCAGTCAAGGTGTTAACGGATGTGTATTGATATTTCATGCAACTGATAAAGATATATGGAATACAAATATGTGTATTACATAATAATATGTGATATATATATATATATATATGTAGTTATGTAAATGATTAAGAAGCAACACTGCACGAGGGTTGCTCCCACCTGAGATATGTTTGGGAATAGAATGGGATTTAACAACCATGATATGATCATGGGGATTGGGGTTGGATACAATAGTGGGGCATTTGGTGGGATACAGCGGGATATACATACATATATATATATATTATACCAGTAGTACCGCACAAGGCGGTGGCGGAAGTTTCAGAATAGGAAACCTATAGGAGAGCTTGGTTGTTGTGAATCCGGGATGGCAGAGCGAATCCACTGATTGACCGAAAGGTGGTTGGAGTTGTGTTTGCTGGAGTGGTTGCAATGGTTGCAGTGGTCACCTCACCCACAACTGCTGGATGTAGTGTGATGTACTGCAACTGTAGTTGTAGTTGTAGCGTAGTGGAGTTGTAGTCGTGGTGTCATGTAATTAGTGTAGTGTAGTTGCAGTCATATAGTTGTAGTTGTAGTTGTTTTGTAGTTGTAGTTGTTGTGTAGTTGTAGTTGTTGTAGTTGTAGTTGTAGTTGTTGTTGTTGTAGTTGTAGCTGTTGTGTAGTTGTAGTTGTTGTGTAATGTAGTTGTAGTTGTTGTGTTGTAGTTGTAGTTGTTGTTGTTGCTGTTGTTGTAGTCGCAGTTGTAGTTGTAGTTGTTGTTGTTGTTGTAGCTGTAGTTGTAGTTGTAGTTGTAGTTGTTGTGTCGTTGTAGTTGTAGTTGTAGTTGTTGTTGTTGCTGGTGTTGTTGTTGTTGTTGTTGTAGCTGTAGTTGTTGTAGTTGTAGTTCTAGTTGTAGTTGTAGTTGTAGTTGTAGCTGTTGTGTAGTTGTAGTTGCTGTAGTTGTTGTAGTTGTAGTTGTAGTTGTTGTAGTTGTAGTTGTAGTTGTAGTTGTTGTTGTTGTTGTTGTAGTTGTTGTGGTTGTGGTTGTGGTTGTGGTTGTGGTTGTTGTTGTTGTTGTTGTTGTTGTTGTTGCTGTTGCTGTTGTCGTCAAAGTTAGGGTAGTTAAGATAGTGAAGTTAGTTAAGTTAGTCAAGTTAGTTAAGTTAATCAGTGTCTACTTTTTCGACATCTTAACGTCAAAAAAGGCTCAAAACCCCCAGTTTTTTACACTTTTGACTTCGAAATGTGCTTCGCGCCAGAACGGCGTGCACTTTTTCAACATCTCAACTTCCAAAAGTGGTCCGAGACCGCCAGTTTTTAACACTTTTGACTTCAAAATGTGCTTCGCGCCACAACGGAGTGCACTTTTTCGACATCGCAACTTCCAAAAGTGGTCCGAACCCCTGGTGTTTTGTACATTTTGACTTCGAAATGTGCTTCGCGCCACAACGGCGTGCACGTTTTCGACATCTCAACTTCCAAAAGTGGTCTGAGACCGTCAGTGTTTTACACTTTTGACTTCGAAATGTGCTTCGCCACATCGGCGTGCACTTTTTCATCTCTCATCTGGCCAGCTGGCTCCGCACCCGCCGCTTTAGCGAGCCTACTTTTCGACCCTCCGAAGCCCCAAATCATTGGAAAAACACAGTGTTTCGCGACTTTCCTACCTTTTCGCGCCTCTGCATCTTCTTTCTTCTTAGTCTTTCTCTTCTACTCTTCTTTCTTCTAATCTTTCTCTTCTCTCTGCCTCTTCCCTGCTCTGCTTTTCATCTGTCCATATTGTCGGGAGTTTGACTTCTAAACTTCCTTCGATTATTTATATATTTTTTATATCATATATATTATATATATTATATTATATATATATTATATATATAATATATATTATATATATGATATATATTATATATGTAGTATATCATGTATATTATATATTTATATATATTATATATATATTATATAATATATATATATTATATTATATATATTATATTATATATATTATATAAATTATGTATATTATATATTATATATATTATATATATTTTATATAGTATATATATTATATATATTATATATATTATATATATTATATATATTATATATATTATATATACTATATATATTATATATGTTATTTAAATTATATATATTATATATATAATATATATATATATATATTAAATACTTTATATATATTATATGTATTATAAATATTATATATATTATATATATTATATATATTATATATATTATATATATTATATATATTATATATTATATACATTATATAAATTATATATTTTATATATTAAATGATATTTATTATATATGATATATATCATATATATCATACATTATATATATATATATGTATTATCATATTTATGTGTTATTAAATATTATTATATATATAATATATATATATATTATATTATATACATTATATATATGTAAAGATATATTTATATATCATATATATAACCAACAATATAATATGTGGGTCTGTCTGAAAATGAGTGAATTTACCGCTAAATAATATATTATATATATATGTGCGTATGGCAATTCTAGTACGCAAAATGATGATTAAGCATTGGATTGTAGGCGTGCCCTATTTTCAGACAATCCCATCTGATACTGTAATTGTGTGTGTAAAGGAAACCGATCCACCTTCATTGGAGGAAGCCCATTTTGAATCTTAAACGTTGCAATTTACACACTTAGAATGATATAATCTATGCTACAGTACGTTTATGATTCATACCACAGCAGGCCCTGCAGGACACAGGGACAAAAAATGGTCTCCAACCATCACTCACGCATACCCGTCATCTGTCATCTATGAACAGGGTTCATGAGAGTTTCTTGCATCTTGGGAGACCCCAAGATCAAAGATTTTTGTTGCCCTCGAAACAAATCATTCTGCTGGTTTGTGGTGGTTCTCAATATTGGGCAAAACCAAAAAATGGAGGTTTCCTGAAATAGGGCTTCCCCTAAATCATCCATTTATAGCTAGGATTGTCCAGCTAATAATTTAGATAATCCATCCATTTGGGGATCCTTCCGTTACATCCGTTACCAAGTTTCTCAGACAGGGTCTGCGTTCATCAAGAATGACCCAAGTCACAACACGTTTTCAGTTACCCTTCACTACAGTTGGTTTCCGGCGGACATTCCTCATGACTGCGAGTTGAAGCGTTTTTTACCATGTTTAACAATCATGGTTTATACCTCCGTAGTTTCCATACTTCCTGGTTGGTGGTTTCAATCCCTCTGAAAAATATGAGTTCGTCAGTTGGGATGATGACATTCCCAATGGATGGAAAGTCATAAAAGTATATAATCCAGTCATGTTCCAGTCACCACCAACCAGCTTCTATACCATCATTATACATCATATGACCCGGCCTGGTAAACATACCAAAAAAACTATGGAACATCACCATTTTTCCATGGTAAATCACCATTTTTAATGGGTAAATCCACTGTTTCGACTGGGCCATGGCTTCTGACTGTCGCTATTTCTGTTGATCCCGACACATCCCGTCACCTGGGTGATGCACGCCCCGAAGGGAAGGGAACCCAACCTAGCAGCGTCCGGAAGGGAAGGGAGGTTTATATGCATACATACACAACAATATGTGCATATACAGCATATATAATCATAATTATATTTATGTATGTAATATAATAATTTATATAAATATCTATATTACATTGTATATATATCGTTAATTATGACGGTTTATATGGCTTAGTCATACTTATAAACTTCATTTGATCTGCCACTTTGGGTCACACATCTCTGCGCCTCGTTCGCAACCGCTCCCCGAACTCCTTCTGTTGCACCGAATCGGCACCTCCCAAAGAATCAAATCGGAATTCTCCGGCCAGCAATTCTCAGGGACATGCATTTTTCATCAAATTTCATAATAATCATCAGTTTGTCCATGAATTGCCCCAGTTTTCATGATGACATGGTTCAACCATGTTCAACCAAAGCTGTGATCCCCACCTGCCGCCAAGTCCGCCCAGAGCTCCTCTAGCGTCACAAATTTCAATAGATCCTGGAGCGACTTCACCGCAGGTTGATGACGTTGATGATGGTTGCTGGTGCCGTTATCAATTAACATCAATTAACATTAATGAAAATCAATTAACATTAATTAACATCAAATAATATCAATTAACATCAATTAAAATCAATTGACATCAATTCACATCAACTAACATCAATTAACATCAATTAACATCACTTAACATCAATTAACATCAATTAACATCAACTAACATCAACTAACATCAATTGACATCAGTTAACATCAATTAACATCAATGGACATCAATTAACATCAATTAACATCAATTAACATCAATTGACATCAATTAACATCAATTGACATCACTTAACATCAATTCACATCAATTGACATCAATTAACATCAATTAACATCAAATAACATCAATTAACATCAGTTAACATCAATTAACATCACTTAACATCAATTGACATCAATTCACATCAATTCACATCAATTAACATCAATTAACATCAATTGACATCAATTAACACCAATTAACAACAATTAACATCAATTGACATCAATTAACATCAATTAACATCAATTAACATCACTGCATGCAAGCATCCCCTCCTACCACCCACGCTTTTATACACATTGCTGCTGAGTCGAAATGTCCATTCAGGTCACTCTCTGTCCCTGGGTGCCAATTGAAAGTAAAGCTGGAGCAACATGCACCCAGGTGACATTTCCCTGATAGGCCACTTGACTCAGCCGGATTAGCTCTCAGATGAGGAGGAACTCGATGTTGTCTCGTCATTCATCTGTCTGGATTCTTTCTTGATGTTGTAGCACTTTGGGCGCTTCTTCCAGTTTACCTCGAGGTCATTTGGCTCCTCATTGGACGAGAAGACATGGCTCTTGCCGGCCCATTTCCATCCACATCGCGTGATCCAGCTGTGCGTCTGCTCATCGGTGTGCTTCCTGATGTGGACCATTGAACTCATCACGTTCCACACATAGCCATGATTCCACAGGTTGTCATCCTGCGGGAGTGGATCAGGGGAAGCCGCATCTGCTGATGCACGAAGTCTGCTCTTCACTTCATGGCATGCTTGGTTCCGTTGGATTTGTTCTGCGTTTGCATTGCTGAGAAGATTGGGAGGTCTCATCTTGGCTCTCAAGGAGCAAAACGGGGCCTCAGCAAGATAGATGAGCACAGCTATCGCATTGGAATGGCTGCATGAATGTTGCATGGGCTATGGTTTGGGGAGGAAGCCGGCGCACGAAACCTGATGTTTTTCCGTGTAAAGTGGCTGCAGTCGACGATGAAAGGTACCGCGTCTGTGCGACGGTTGCGGCTGCGGTCGTTTTGTGTGCGATCGGTTCCTCCTATGTGTTTTGCAGGAATGGTTGTTCCTGTGTGCGTAGTTGTATGCGTGTTTTGAAGCTGTGGTTGCAGATCGCATTGGAATGGCTGCGTCAAGGTTGGTTGGTGCCGCGGCTGCATGCGTAATACTATTGTCTTTTGCAGCTGAAGATCTTAAATCGTATTGGAGTGGCTGCATCCAGGCTGCGATAGTGATTTGTCAGCAGATTTTCGCAATTTTGGCCGAGCAATTTTCCGTTTAAAAATCCTTGTGAAAAGTGCTTCAAAATCGTCTTTTTTCTGCTTTGGCGTCGAGATCCCGGTTTTGGAGCTGCAATTTCCGATAACGTTGCGCATAGTTCTATTGTGTTTTGCAACTCAGTCTCTGCAGATCGCATTTTGGGATGGCTGCGTCAAGGTTGCTTGATGCCGCGGCTGCACGCGTAATACTATTCTCTTTTGCAGCTGAAGATGGTAAATCGTATTGGAGTGGCTGCATCAAGGCTGCGATAGTGATTTGTCAGCAGATGTTCGCCATTTTGGCGCTAGTGATTTTCCGTTTAAAAATCCTTTTAAAAAGTTTTTCAAAATCGTCTTTTTTTCGCTTTGGCGTCGAGATCCGGTTTTGGAGCTGCGATTTCCGACGCTGTTGCGCGTAGTTCTATTGTCTTTTGCAATTCAGCCTCTGCAGATCGCATTGTAGTGGCTACATCAAGGTTGCTTGTTGCCGCGGCTGCATGCGTAATACGATTGTCTTTTGCAGCTGGACTTCGTAAATCGCATTGGAGTGGGGGCATCAAGGCTGCGACAGTGATTAGTAGTAGTGCTGGGGAGTGATTAATGAGAGCTTAGATGACATATGAGAAGAGATGAGATGAGAAGAGATGAGCTGGGATAAGGTGAGAAGAGCCCAGATGAGATGAAGTGTGGAGTGTGAAGAGTGCAGTGTGAAGTTTGGAGTGCGAAGAGTGCAGTTTGAAGTGTGAAGCGTGGAGTGTGAAGTGTGAAGTTTGGAGTGTGAAGTGTGAAGTTTGGAGTGTGAAGGAAGCAGTGAGAAGTGAGAAGTGTGAAGTGTGGACTGTGAAGTGTGAAGTGTGAAGTGTGGAGTGTGAAGTGTGAAGTGTGGAGTGTGAAGTTTGAAGTGCGAAGAGTGCGAAGAGTGCAGTTTGAAGTGTGAAGCGTGGAGTGTGAAGTGTGAAGTTTGGAGTGTGAAGGAAGCAGTGAGAAGTGAGAAGTGTGAAGTGTGGACTGTGAAGTGTGAAGTGTGAAGTGTGGAGTGTGAAGTGTGAAGTGTGGAGTGTGAAGTTTGGAGTGCGAAGAGTGCGAAGAGTGCGAAGAGTGCGAAGTGTGCAGTGTGAAGTGTGAAGTGTGGAGTGTGAAGTGTGAAGTGTGGAGTCTTAAGAGTACAGTGTGAAGTGAAGTGTTGACTGCGAAGGGTGCAGTGCGAAGAGTGCAGTGTGAAGTGTGGAGTGTGAAGCGTGTAGTGTGGAGTGTGAAGACTGCAGTGAGAAGTGCGAAGTGCGAAGTGGAGCTTCAAATGTGAGAGTGTGAAACAAGACACCAGTTTCGCAGGGTGCACGCACGCACGGGCTTGGCTGGCGCACGGCGCATGCAAGTTCTATAGATGAGAAAGGTCTCATATATATCTTTAAGGCAACTTCCGCCCCGCCTCGTGCGGGTACTACTGGTATCTGTTTGATATAAATAGAATTCATTGCAATAGTTGGTCGCGGATGTGTCTTTACCATCTAGCATTGCATGCCTTGAAAAAGAGCACGGCAATACTTTCTTCATGGCCTAAGTTTGCATTTCGTTTGTGAAACTTGTACAATGTACCAAAATGGTGACAACAAGACCAGCGACATTGTAACGACATAACGTTGAAAACAATATCTATTAATGTGTCACCGTGAGGCGCAAACTTGCAAGGGTGGGCACAGGCTTTACCCGAAGATTGTTTGTGATGGCAATGCGTCCATGAATGTTGTATTTAGATACAGGCACAAAATGCTCCGGAAAGTGTAACGCTTGGTAACTCATTCGTGTTGAATTATTGTTAAGGGGCGTCCTGGAAGTTCAAAGTCGAGCTCGTCCTGTAGCAGGGACGCATCTGCAAAAATCGGTTCCACTGTGGTCAGGTCTTCTTGCAGGGGCACAGTGTTGTTTGCATCTGCTGGTATTTCTTCCAGAATACCTTCCGCATTTGCAAGGCAGTGGGCCATGGAAATCAATCCTGCGGTGTCGAAATCTCGGGGGTGCAAGGTAGCAAATGTGGGGAGTGTAAGGTAGCAATTTCTGAGTTTAGCGACGTTCAGGAAATTGAAAATCTTTTTGGGTTTCCAATGTGGGCATGAACCCTGATCCTTCGAGTTTTTGCGCGAGCAACGAATCGTTGTCTGTCCAACTTGGCAAGTTGCCTCTGTGGTAATGGGTGTACATCAGACGGAGAAATGTCATATCTGCTAGCATTTGCCACCAGTCGAAGGACACTCTGCGTGCTTGCGAAGGCAGCATTGTTTTCAGAATGCTCCATTTTTGCTCGACGCTTAGAGTGCCGCTCACGATGGGGATTCCAGCGCGTCTCAGCCCACGAGATACCAGTGCCCAATTCCAAAGGCCTTGGATCTTTGCTGGACTCTTCAACTTTCTGTAGTGCTCCAACATTTTCTTGTTGAAAACAGTGCGGGCTCCTTGGACTGTATCAATACGTGGACTGTGGCCAAGGAATTTCCACAAGATAAAGGCCGCGAACCCGAATGTCCGCGCGCGTAGTGGTGAGATTTTGTGCATGAAGAACCCAAGCGTAACGCGGTTGTCAGCTGCAACAAGAGGAGGTGTGCTGCGGCTCCCCGATGTCGTATGTGAAAGATAGTCTGAAAGTTGTGTGTGAAAGAAAGGGTGTGACAAAGTTGTGTGTGAAAGATGGTGTGTGACAAAGCGGTGTGTGAAAGATGGTGTGTAAAAGATGGTGACGCGCGCCGCAGCTCGTCCTGGAGGCTCTGTGTCCTGCGCCTGCCACGCAAAACACAGCCGCGGCCCAGCGGCGACCACGCGCGCCGCAGCTCCACCTGGAGGCTCTGTGTCCTGCGCCTGCCACGCAAAACGCAGCCGCGGCCCAGCGGCGACCACGCGCGCCGCAGCTCCACCTGGAGGCTCTGTGTACTGCGCCTGCCACGCGCCACGCAAAACGCAGCCGCGGCCCAGCGGCGACCACGCGCCGCAGCTCCCACTGGAGGCTCTGTGTAGCCACGGCTCTGTACGTGCTTGGCAGCCGCTTCCGCGGATCGCTTACGCAAGTCACCCTCACGCAGCTCCAGAGGGGAAAGTTCAAGAATGAGGGGATAGTGTGAATCAGCATCGTTGTCTGAAAGTCTCAACTCCTCACTTGTCCAGCGCTCCGCCACCGCGCTTTTCACTGCGCCTCGCAGCTGAGGCAGCTTTGCGAAATTCAGCAGCACGCAACAGATCTCCGCGCTGCGATCACCATGTAGAACCTCGTAACTCGCTCCCTCGAACTGCTCGATAACACAATCCACTGCATCACGAATAGCCTAGGGTTCTAAGTTGAAGTCGCCTGCAACGACACGATGTTTGTCTCGGAGCGCCAACCAAAATAGTGTCTTTAATGCAAGCTTGCACGACTCGACGGAACGCTTCTCGTCGTTGTGGACGTGCA